TTTTGGTAGAAAATTTAAAAGGGTATATTTTGAGGTACGTATTTTGTTTGGTACAAAAGATATTTTAGGTTCACCATGCTGATCAAGCTCTTCTGTTGGTAATGGCATGTTGACATACACTCGACGTTTTTGTGATTGTTGTAAATTTGAAGTTGACAATTGTCTTTTATGACCTATTTTTGTTCCATTTTCAGCCTCGCTATCCTCTTTATCTTTATCAGAAAATGTTATATTTGTCATTTTTTTTTTTTAAAGAAAAGAAAAATTTCATTCAATCTGATAGAAAAACATGCAATTGTTTTTATTAAAGAAGCTCAACTTCTAATTTCATATTTGAAAAAATCTAATCAGCAAGCATGACGAAACTTCTGTAGTCGTGTAGTGTAACCAACCATACATTTGGGCAGTAAATTCTATTTATAACAATATTAATATGTTTAATATGTTTCTACATTTGCCATTATTATTATATCTAGTCATTGATTTACTACAAATAAGACAAATTAAATAGAAGAAACTTTTTTTTCTATTAACCAATTAATTTGAAATTTATTCTTTTTTGCATAGTGATTTGGAATTTGAAGCCGAAATAGTTGAACCTAATAGATTAATAATATTTATCAATTAACCGGTTAACGAATTATACATGGTTCCAATCTCTGGTGCATTTTATTTTAAATCTAGTTGGTATATTATTAATTACACCTAACTTTATTATAATTGTTAGTTACAAAAGCAGCAAGTTAAATAAGTTATGATTACTTTTATTTGCACTTTATGCAGAATATAGAAAAAGTTTGAGAATAAATTTTAAATTTGATCTTTTATTATTCAAGTAGTATGAAATATATGTTCCATCTCTTCTTACATATTAATGTCTTTATTTCATTATCAAAATTTTTTTTTCTTTTATGAAACTTTAACTTTTAAATTATATAATGTGGTGGACAGGCTGGGACGTGATTGAAATGAAGCTGCGATGTATCCATTGAGCAAAGGGAATGCATACCTCAAAGTGGGATGCTCATAGTAATTCTGAAAATAAAGGTTAATATTATCAATACACGTGATGATAATGTGCATTTTCTTCAATAAAGAATGATATTTATTTTATCTTGTAGTAATGTCATTTTTATCTTCTTCACCATGAGAGCTTTATCTTTCTTTGACAACATTGTCATCTCAAAAAGATCTCGTGAAGAAGATATAGATTTCTTGCTACTTACTGGAAATCGGTTCAGTCTAAAGATTATGAATTACATTTATAATTGTTATTTATTTTCAAACACAACGAACCTAACAAAATGGAAATCCATAAAGAATATATTTCATGTCTATATAAAAGGATCAGGAATAATGTTAGTTTCCAAAACTATAGAGTTTCGTAACTGTGCAAAAGTCGAAACTAGTTTTGACTTTCAAAATGGTTTTAGCAACCAACAATAATTATTGAACGACACAATGAAAACTTGATTAAAACGATTATTGTAAATAATTTGGAATTAATATCATAAACACATTTTTCTCGTAGGAATATAAATACAAAATCATCGTTATCGCAGGGAATATAATTATCATTTAGATAAACTTGGCAATCTACTAATTGATGTAATAATAGTAATAGTAATAGTTAGTTATCCCCTCATTTATGCAATTTATTTTTATACACCATAAATATCCGACCACTTGCGCTGTGTAACGTCAAATGAAAAAAGTGCTTACTATTACTACCGTATTCTCTGGAATATAAGCACCACCATTTTGACACGTTTTGGTCAACAAAACTGTGGGTGGTGCTTATATTC